TTAGCCACCAACTCAGGGTCTGGAAGTGGAGGGGACTCCTGCGGCATGGAGAATGATGGTGGTGCAGGACTGGAGACTGGCCTTGAACCTGAATCAGGAGGAAAGACTTCTGCAGAACCAGAGTTCCAGGAAATCAGTCCACAGGGGCATAGGTGGAGTGGATGGAGAGGTGAGCAGGGAGTGAAGGGGTGTGAAGTGAACAGAGCCACTCTACAGTATTCCATAATATTCCACACAGCTATAGTGGGAGAAACCCCTGTTACCCTAGCCTGGGAGTTCCCCTTGAAGAGCCCAAGGAATCCTAGCAGGAGGAGCTTCAAAAAGAGCAAGCCTGCTTGGCTCAGAGCTCATGATCAGATCTGTGTTTGCATTACAGGGGCCAACCCACTCTGGGAAATCAAAATGCCTTCCAGTGGAATCTTTCCAAGGTTCCTTCTCGTTTGCCCACATAAATCTATTTGGGGGTTTTCACTGGGAAACAGTTACCACCACCCTCTGGTGACTTCATGGCTTCCTTCCTATTCTGATGCTTTGTGATTCTATTTAAAATTCCTTTGTAAATAAACTTAGGTGATAGGACAAATATGTTTTATTATGTTTTCCCAAGTAGGTACCCACTGTTCATTTGATGGACATTTACTGAGCAATTGTTCAGCACCAGGCTTGATACTGAAAACAGTGGTGACTGAGACTGTGACCATCCATGAATTACTTCATCAAGTGAAAGAGAGAGAAGCAGATACCAGGGAGGCTTTCCACACACAGCAGGGTAATCACAATGTTAGAGGGATGTATGTGGTTCTGTGTACCCTGCAGAGGACATAATGAGCTGCACTGGAGAAAGGTGAGTGTGAGGGAAGGATGCTGAGAGGAGGAGGTAGAGGAGCTGGATCTGGAAGCTGGAGTGAGATTTCACCAGGTGCTGAGTCGGGGTTGTGGTAGCGAAGAATATAGGGGCTGTGAAAACATTTTGTGCACAGGGATTGGCATTCGCAGAGTAATGCTGGCCTGAAATGTTGATATTTACTTATGCAAATCCATGAAGAGTAACCACTTTGGACTTGGACTGACCAGTCACCAGGTGCCCAGAAACCAGTCTTCCAGTTCTGCAGAAACTATAAAACAGGGGCAGACAAGAGAAGAAATGGATGACAACTACTAGGTATCTACCAGGTGGAGAGCTCTCCTGTCTCATCACTGCTGGGACTCCAGGCTCTGAACCTCCTTCAGAAGAGTGGAGACTAGACAAGTGGAAATAACCAAAGACATCAAAAGCAGAGATATTTTCACACTGAAGCAAATTGCAGATTGATTATATTACAGGGGATTGAGGTTGCTACATAACTTTTGGCAAATCTGTAATAGAAAAATAGAACTCTTATGGACTGGTAAGATGGGGATAAGTAAAAAAATAATAACATTTGCCTTCTTGCAAACCACAGAGTGAACAGCTGAGTGTGGAAGGGCTGGCAGGAAATGTGGTTGGAAATACAAGCAAAAGACAGATTAAGGCTGTGCATGCTATGTTAGAGAGCACGGACTTAACTCTGCATGCCTGAGAGCTTTTCAAGAATTTTAAGCAGGAAATTGGCATTACCACATTTGTGTTTCAGAAAGATTACCTTGGCTTCAGTGCAGTTGGAAGGATATGAGGGCAAAGGCTGGAATCAGTGAAATGAGACATCCAAGTGTTGTTTATATAATCCAGGCAAGAGATTTTTGATAGCTAAAATAAATCACAGGGACATTTGAAGGTAAAATTTGGTGCCTGACTGGATGTTTGAGGTAAGCTTGAAGGGGTTATGGGTGACTGATGTTTTGGACTGGGCAGCTGGATGCAGGCTGGCATCTGTTATTCACTGAGTTACGGAATGCAGGAGGAGAAGCCGGTTGATGTAGGACAATGTGGAGATGGCTGAATCCAGGCCAGACGTGTTGATTTGAGATGCCCCTGGGGTATTCAGGTTGGGAAGTCCAGATGTTCAATACAGAGGTGGTCATGTGGCTGGTGCTCAGATGGGAAATGGGGGCTGGAGAGAGAGATTTGGGAGACATTAAGTGATAGGACTAGTGAGAATGCCAAGTGAGGAGGAAGTCGCATAGAACATCCCTGTGAGACCAACAGCAGGGAAGAACCTGAAATGGGTGGTGCCAGGAGTCAAGGAAGGAGCCGTTTGTAACTACTTGTGTGGTTAAAAAGTACCAAGGACAGCAGCAAGTACAAGAAGGTGAAAGAAAAGTCTTTGGGCAATTCCGAGGTCATTGTTGGCCTTGGTATGAACTGTTATAGCCAGACTGGGAGGACTTGAAAGCTGCATTAAAGTTAACTAAAGAGTGAACAGGAAGAGAGGGGGTGACCATGAGGGAAGAGAAGAGATGGAGCCGTGCCTTGTGCAGGTGCTGAATTGCAGGAGAAATTGGGAAACCTGTCTTTTTATTTATTTTTTTTTTAAGAGAGAAGAGATTTGTGTATGTTATCGGCTGTGTATATTATAATATTTGTGTATTTAATCAGATGTAAATTTGTATATTTAACTTGGATCTAGTGAAGTCTTCCAGAAGCACATTCCAGAGCACAGACAGGGACTCTTCACATGAGGGAGGAGAAAGAGAAGGATGGCCGTGTGCACTTGCAGATGAGTTTAACAGGGCAGGAGGCAAAAGGCTGAGGGATGCCTGGCCTGATTTCCTCTACTTTCTAAATTAGTCAAAAGTTAAAACAAATGTCTTCCATTTCCCATGAATTTGAATTCTAATCTTAGAAAACATGTATCACAAAATATCACAAATGCCTTTGTACTTTATTTTATACCTGATTGTGCCTGAGGAGTCCTTATCAAGAACAGCGGGTTGGTGAGAGTAAGTAAAATAAGTATATCTAGTATTTGGTGAAAGCAGAGCTCCATATTCTAATATCAACCCAAAACAAACATGCGCGTGCCTGTGCACACACACAACTCTAAGACACTGGAAAAACTACAAGAGTTATACTTAAATTTTAAGAACTATTGATCCCTACCCAAAATAAATCTGATCAAACCAGTGTAACACCCAATCCAGCTGGACCTCACCAATAGCTTCCAAATCTTCCTCCTTAGCAAGGAATCAGTAATAATTATAATGATAATTAGTACAAGGATGATCAGAAGAAAGCCCAGGAGAGCTTCTTCTATGCAGAAACTATGTCTTTTCTATTTTCTAATCCAGAGACAACCCAAAATGTACGTATTTTAGAATGTTTGCTCATTAAAAAATGAATTATTTATAAAAATTATTTTTCAGTAACTGCCAAGGTATGTGAAGAGTAGCCACAGAGATTTTAGAAGCATTAAAAGGTAGATAAAGCAAATTGGAATCAGGGGAGAGTTAACAGAAACTGTGGAGCTTAGGGCATTGGGACAAGTTGAGTGAGATTGTACCACTCACTAAGTTCCGACGAATAAGAGGTGACTTTGCTCCTTATTAACTTGGTTCTATGTTTGGCTCCTCATTCTTTTTGTTTTTTAATTGTACTTTAGGTTCTGGGGTACAGGTGCAGATCATGCAGGACTCATTCTTTAGGAACTCTGGGGCTCTGACTGTGCCTCAGGTATCAGAGATGATCCCTTAGGGGAGTGACTTAGCCACCTTTTCCTGACCGTCTAAAGGATAATTCCTACCTCACAACATTCCTGTGGCAATTCAGGTTGACTTCATCTTTAATCATAAGAATGCTGGAAGGCATGCAGATGGGTGTTCAATGAAGACAGATTAAGCTTATTAATTTGAGGAGTAGTTTAATTATATTTTATGCTCAGGCAAAATAAAGATTAATTTTCATTATCTTTTGTTTTGATTATCTGTGGTGCTGAGCAAGACTTATTTGCAATGCAGATTTTTTACTTAGAATTTAAATTTCTCCTCTCAATCCTTATTTATTTACTTGTTTATTTCTTTTCATTTGACAAATAAAAATTGTGTATACTTATTGTATACAACATCATGTTTTGAAATATATATACATTGTGGAATGGTAATATAGAGCTAATTAACCATGCATTATCTCACATACTTATTTTTTGTGATAAAAACACTTAAAATCTATTCTCTTGGTGCAATTATTTTTAAACTTAAAGTGGATAAAGCAGTAGACACCTTTTCAGGTGTTCTTCAAGGCTGTGGGTCAAAGACATTCTATTTCCCTTAGAACTAACTACCCTGATTATACAAGTGGGCTCTCTACAGTCAAGACACATAGAAGGTCACATTCTAATGGCCAAGGTTGACTAGACTTAGGACAGACACCTAACACAACCTAGAGATATCCCAGTCCCTTTTTACGCATTTGGAGTTTTGGCTATAGATTTACATATATATACTTTAAATCCTGGGGTACATGTGCAGATCGTGCAGGATTGTTACGTAGATATACACATGCCGAGGTGGTTTGCTGCCTCCATCCCCCTGTCACCTACATTAGGTATTTCTCCCAATGTTATCTCTCCCCAGTCTCCCCATTCTCTGCTACCCCTCCCCTAGACCCCCACACCCTAACAGACCCCAGTGTGTGATGTTCTCTTCCCTCTATGTATGTGTTCTCTTTGTTCAACACCCACTTATGAGTGAGAACATGCGGTGTTTGATTTTACGTTCTTGTGTCAGTTTGCCAAGAATGACGGTTTCCAGATTCAGCCATGTCCCTGCAAAGGACATAAACTCATCCCTTTTTATGGCTGCCTAATATTCTGTGGTGTACATGTGCCATGTTTTCTTTATCCAGTCTATCACTGATGGGCATTTGGGTTGGTTCCAAGTCTTTGCTATTGTAAATAGTGTGCATGTGGCTAGATATTTCAATCATAGCACAGCCTGATGTCTGGAACTTAAAAGCTATAAAACCACAGAGCTGTGGGGCAGATGTCTCCTGCCACCTTCACTGAGTCATAGGAAAGTCAGTCAGCAGAAGTGCAGAGAGAAGCAGGCATTTAAAAAAGGGAAAACACTTCTTCACTTTCACTTACTCGATTTCCTAGTTCCACAGGGTCATGTCTCCTTTTTATTCAGCAAGCTTTTAACTGCCACACCCTGAAAAAATATAGATAAGGTTGCTTCAGCCCCACTCAGCCACCCAATGTGGCCTCACAATGCCTGACACACATCCCGTTCTTCGATGCAGTGGAAATTCCCTTAATCTCATTGCCTCACAATAGGTTCAATATTAACCAAAACAAACTTTATTCTGAGAAGGAAAAGGAGCCTTACAAGTTTTGTCAGAATATATTTTTACAATGAAATTACTTTAAACTTTTGACAAAATTCGATTTAGGCATAAAACTTATTGGTGCAAAGACAACTGCAGGTTTTTTATCATAGGCAATAGGACCCTCACTTACCTGAACTGTTAACCTGTAGTCAGTTATCAATGTGAGTCAGACAATCAATGGATTCAGTTGCCAAAATCAAGTCTGTCAACCTACTGTCACTGTTTAGTAACATTGTCAGCCAAATGCACATATTTTCTTAGTTTGAAGAATCAGTATTCCAGAGACACCGTCCAGTTAAAAAAAAAATTTTTTTTAGTCCCTCCAGACTGCTATAACCGAATGTCATAGACTAGGTGGTTACAAACAGCAAAAATTTATTTCTCACAGTTTTAAAGACTGGGAAGTGCAAGATTAAGGAGCTGGCAGATTCATGGTCTGGTATGGGTCAACTTCTTTGTTCATAGATGGCCATTTTTTTGCTGTGCCTTCCATGGTGGAAGGGGTGAAGAAGCTACTTGCAGTCTTTCTTCTATAAGGACTTTAATCCCACTCACAAGGGTCTCGTCTTCATGACCTATTCACCTCCAAAAGGCCCTATCTTCAAATATCTCCACACTGAGGATTAGATTTCAACATAAGAATTTTGAGTAGACATAAACCTTCAGTTTATAGCAAGATTCTTAATGCACTACAAATGCATACTATATGATTTATACAATCCCAGGAAATAACATTCCATGAGACCACTGTGAACCCTTCCAGAGACGGCAAGTCTGTTACTTCATCAAACAGCTAATTTTCTTAAGTGAGACAACACCGGCCTTCCAATAACATCTTCTAATTAATAAGTCCAGAAACAGTAAACAATAAAACCCATATGTTCTTAAGAATTTAAGGTTGAATATTCCATCAAAAGTATTTCTGGGGTAAATTCCAAAAATAGTAATTCCCACTGCACTGATTTAATGATTATTTGTGTAATTATGAATTCGATATATTTGCATCACAAGACTGCAAGCCCCATTAGAGCAGAAAGTCTGTCTGGACTGATAGATCTCATATCTCTCTTTCATGGTGCTGATACACAGTTGCCATCCAATAAATATTTGTTGGATGGTAAATGCATTAAGGAAATCAGTTTCTTACCCTTTGGCAGTCCCTGTATGTTAGTCAAAGCAACAGGACTTCTGGTCTATGTATCAGAAGCCCATAAGGACTCAAGAAGGTAACATCAAGCATTTGAATGTGGAATGATTGTGTCAGACAGCAGTGCAAAGCCATAGAAGTAAGGTCAATACCTCAGAAGTAAAAAGGCAGATTGCAAGTCCTCCAATAGAGAAGGCTATTCATTTTTACTGAAATCTAGTCTCTCAGATTCTACTAAACACTCTCTCATTATCTCATTTAATTATCACAGCAACTTAACAGGTCAGTGTGATTTGATCCATGGCGTTATAGATACAGGAAAAAGTATTTAAAGGACTTATTAATACATACCTTGCCCAAGTTACTTGGTTTGTAAATGTTACTATATATATATAAAGCCAGGATCATCAGCTTCTAATATTCTCACCTTTTTATGGCACCAGAGAAGAGTAATTGTTGTGAAAGAAAGTAGTCAAGAGAGGCTTCTCGGCAACAGATGATTTGAGCAGGTTCAACGCAATTAGAGATCTAATAATTGCTAACACTGATTTACTGCTTATTGGATAAGAGGCAGTATTCTAAGGCCTCATAGTTTTTCACTAATTTAATTCTTGTCTGATGAAGCTCCATGAAATATATGCTTTTACCACCTTTATTTTATATGCAGGGCAATTGAGGAATAAGCAGGACTGGTACCTTATCCTGAGATTTCATAGCTAGAAAATTATGGATCTAAGATTTAAGCACAGTTTTCACCAAGCATGTGCTTTCAACTATGACTTAACATTCCCTTCAATAAGAACCTATTAACAGCTAGTTTACATAGATTCATCGTTACACCAGGACAGCTTGGTTAATTTATATTTTAGTCAACTCCAACCATTTAAACCCAAGTGTGAAGGTAAGAGGATATTCTCTGAACAAATAAAAAAGTCATAAGAGTTTGACTAGAGAATGCCAGTACCTCAGTCTTCCCCGTGTCTTTGTCCACTGCAACTGCCCAGAAGCTCCGGCCAAGAAATAGTTATTGGTCATGGCATTCATCTGCTCTACTAAATAAATTTTGTTCTAAAGATAATGACACTTGTTTAGTCACAGACTTTCAAGAAAATGGCCTATTCTTCAGCAATGCGGACACTAACATCCTTTGATTTCCTTCTAGAGCTGAGACTTTTCACTAAAATAAATCACAGCTGTTCCATAGAAGAAGAAACAATTGATGCCTCAACATCTCTTAGAAACATAAAACCTAAGCCAGTTAATAAAAAGAGACCGTCGAGGGCAGAGGATACAGAGAGCCCATCGCAACCTCAGCAGGTTACACAGGCTGGAAGGATATGGCTGGGGAAAGGGTTAAGCCCCTTTTTCTCCTATGTACAGTCACATTACTGTTATTCTGGTCCACAGGTTTTAGAGAACATTAACTATCATCACTGGGACTCCAGAGCAAAGGGGAGGTACAATAACTAAGAGGGAGAAAAGCATTGGGGAGGAAAGTGGACTGCATTTAAAATCAGGAGAGTACATCCGGGAACAGCGCTGCCACAGCCAGACAGGTGACTTCGATCCCTACTTTACTTGCCAAATTCTTGTGCAGCTTTTGCCAGATCTTACTTACCAGACGTTCAGCACAGGAGTAAGCAGTGGTGTTCTTGTACTGGGAAAAAAGATCATTGTTTCATCTAGTTCAATGATATTAGCTGCCATTGATGGGCAAGACCTAGTTCCATTAATTAAGGCATTAGACCTCCGTGCATTCACTACAGAAAGTAAAAAGAGAAACCTCCCTTCATCTGTTATTTGCTTACTCAGTGGCATAACATAGGCAGGAAAGATAGATGTTTTACTCTTTCCATTCCTCTACTCAAGGTGCTGACGCCACCAAAATCTCTTATAAGGAGAACTTGATGACTCCTCCTTGTGCCCTCTGTGTCTTTCCTCTGCCATTTCGCTTTTCTGCCTAGGCCACAAAGTCATTTTCAGTCTTCTTCTTAGGCCACCCAAAGCATACTGGTTAAATCATTTCTCAAATTTCTCCCATTTCCTATTGAATCTCTGCATTGTTATTAACATACACCTAGATCACAGCTCATTTGCAGTGTTGCTGTTAGAAATAGAGACCACACAGCATTTTTCCTATTCTTTCCATTTTAAGACATTATAGCATCATATTCATATGTCATTAAAAGTGAGAGAATGTGGAAGAATATAGTCTCTTGGTGCTCAAAATAAACAGGATTACACTGGCTCTTTTTCTACTTCATGTTGCAAACAATGGACAGGAAAACAGTGGATTCAATCTGGTCTCTGCATTTTGTTGTTTGTCTAAAACAAAAAAAACAGCAAGGTCTTTGTCTTTAAAATAATCATAATTTACTATTTTTAATAAAACAAAATATATAGACAATGGGACTACCTCCTGCACTCTGACAGAGCAGTTGTCTTGTGGTTGGGATTGGCATTGCTTACCTGCCCAAGAGCCTCCTCTGACACTGCCACGAAGCCACCGTTAGTCTGTTGTCCATTGTCCATGATAGAGCTGAAAATGATGAATTTGAGGGAAATGTTTTACATAAGTTCAATGCATAATTCCAGCTCTACTTCATTCTGTGATTCAAAATTGCCACTTAAAATCTTGGTATCATCATCTGTAAAATGAGATAGCAACACATGCTTTCCATGATATTATGAGGATTAAATGAGATAACATAGGTAGAAATCCATATATACTTCTCAAATACATACAGATTTACCAATAAATGCCATTAAATAGCAGCTATAAACACTTCTGGATTCCTAGCTTGTGTATAAAAAGGCAAATTTCAGAAATCAGGTAAAATGTTCACTTTCTTTAGGTCTTTAAAATGCAATGCACATAGTAATTATTCCCTTTTCCCAAACAGATTCTAAAATATCCCTTAAAGGCAACACTCACTGTACTGCAAGCATCTCCCATAGATGGTAAACTTCCTGAAGAGAGGCACTTTCTTTGAGTCCTCAGTTAATGGTGCCTGGCATATACTCAATAATTAGCTTTGAAATGAATGGATCTAGCCTTAAATGACAATAACATCAATGTACCACTAAGTTACAATATGTGATTTGCATACAATTACTTCCCTTAGAAAGTTGTAACATGGTAGAAGACAGTGTGAGAACATGCTTTTTTTGCATGGATAACACATGTTTAGTGCTTAAACGATGTCAGTTGGTCTTCTGAGAGTGTTTTACAAATTTTGTCTCCTTTCACCCCGTGCCCAGCATACAAGAATTCAGCACTCTTCTAGCCTTCTTCAATGATTCAGAGTTTCACCTGTAATACATCTAAGTAGAAGATCATAAAAATCTAGCTGATCATGTATCTTAACTCCCCAACTTCTATGATAAAATTTGGAGCCAATTCATCTTGGTTTGGAGCCAGCTGGCTCTTTGACATGCCTCTTATCCAGTGAATTTATTAATAGCACCCTTTCACTCTCAAAACTGCCCCAGTTTGGTCATCCTAATGATAAGCTACTGAAGGGGCATGTCTTCTGTCTCATTGGTCTTCCTAAACACAAAATTTACTCTCAACAGATGTTCGTTGGTTGAAACAAGGATAGTGCTTTGCTAATCAGTCTAATAAGAGCAGGTGTTCTTGTCTTATCCATTTTTCCTCAGCTCTTCTCTGAATGAAGCGTCTTCCCCAAAAGCCTTTATTTTGACATATCCTTAATAATGCTTCTCTTGTCCTTAAATAATTAATGGGTTTAAAAATATCTGTCAGTGTAAACAGAGTGATACATGGAGTGAAGAAAAACAGTGAATATTTTGGCAGAACAAATAAAAGCCCCATTAGTAACTATATAAATCTCAGCAATAGAGCTCATCTGCCTTTCACAGCAAGAGTTTTCATTTCCTTTGTCACCAGGACTCATAAAGCCATGCCAAATGAGTGGCCCTACTGCTTTATCCAAGACTGACACTAAATTTCTTACGTGCATTAGTGCAATGGTCAATTTGTGCCGGGAGAGACTAGGTAGGTTACTGGGTGATGGTGACAGAGAAGAAAGAGCATAGAAAGATAGGGCAGAATCTGGGCAGGAGAGCTTTCTACATTAATTGGCTTTGTTGCAGCCACACAGAGGAAAGTATATTTCACACGCATACATGTGCATGCATACACACACACACATATGCACACACACACATTCCTAATGTCCATTGGCCTGTTTTATCACTACTAAGGGGTTTAGATGAATACCTTTCTCTGGCATAGCTGCTCCTTAAAAGAGTGTCAAGGAGAGACTCAAGCAAGGGAAGAAATAATTGCAAGTAATTTCATTTTCACCACAAACGTCAACCATGTTGGCTAAAAATCTCAAATTCAAAGGACAAGAATATCATTTTTATCAACATAGCAAAATGTCTTCTCATATTGGAAACATTAGTGGTTCCAAATTGTGAGTAGTTCCCCTCTCCCTCATCTGCAAGGGAGTGTATTCAACCATATCTGGAGAAACTTTTGAATGATTATGGGGTGAGGGGGAGGGTGGCTATGGACACCTAGTAGCCAAAGACCAGAAATGATGCTAAGCATCCTGCAGCCCTAAAGGTAGGCCCCTATGACAAAGGATTAATTGGCCTAGAATGTCAGTAGCATCACTATTGAGAAATATTGGTCTTTTTAAATTAAAAAATATGGAATTACAAAGGAATCAATTTGCTTCTTCATTTAATAATTATTTACCAAAAAACCAAGCAGTATATTGTTTGTTCTAGATTCTGAGACTAGAGATAAATATGACACGGTTCTGAAAGATCTGATTCTGGCAATTGGTGGCCTAGAGATCCCGAAAGCCTCCTGTAATATGATATTTGAAAATTCTCAATGGACAATTATTAATTAACAACTTTTTAAAAAGTGAAATGAGGCTAGAAGAAATTTTTTTAAGGAATCCTGTTCAAGTCAAACAGTGAGAATACTTGGAACAAGAAGTAGGCACATCTCAGCCACGTTTCGCCCTGAGGGTTAAGGGAAGTCTTTGCGCTGGAGCTTTAGTCTGCTAAGGGAAGGGGAGAACAATTTTGCCTTTTAAAGCCTATAAATGTTTTACACAGTCAGAAAGTAAAGTTTGAAAAAGAGAGCAAATTCAAATCCCAAAACTGAAAACAAATAGAAACAATTGTAAATCTAGCATAATAGTATATCGAACTAGTAACAAAACTTGCAAATAAAATATTTCAGGTTACTTTCGAAAACAAAACTGGGAACTTTACATTCTAGGTGAAATATGTTTTGAGGCCAAATACCTAACAAATCTTAAACAGCAGTCAGTAATTTTATTTTTGTTAGTAATAATATCATCATTTTCCATCTTAAAACCATTATATGTTTTGCAGATCGAGTTTGACCAGGAAATAAAATTACATGTTGAAGAACATAGAAAATTAAACAGCATGTTAATTTACAAGGAATCAAATTTTCGGTATAAGAACAGAAATATAGTGTGAAATAAAAAACCATCATTTCTATTTGTTTTCAGCTTTAGGATTTGCATTTACTTCTCTTTTTAAAATTTTATCTTCTGACTATGTAAAACATTATAATTATAGGCTTTTAAAGGCAAAATTGTTCCCCCCTTTCCTTAGCAGGATCAACTTAACTTTTAATTTTGTAGGATGTATAAGGTTTAACTTGAATTGGCAATATCAGGATTTTTAAATACATCTCTCTTAGCACTTTCCATTGGCCTACAAACCATAAAACCATTGCATTCCAATAGCAATAAGAGCACAAATGTTATTTTAACAGAGCCCAGCACTAGTGCCATTGCTGGAGAAAAAAAAAACTCACTACATAGAAGCAGAAAATAAATCACTAGAAATATGTGTGTATTGTATACTCACAATTGCAATGTATAAATTTCAATGGACTTAATCTGGTTAGAAGAGATGAATTATTAAACCACAAAATGTAAAGAAATAGAAATTTGAAATTAGCAAGACTAAAAAGAATTGAATGTAAAAGTTGATGAAGCTATATTAATATCAGACAAAATATACCATACAGTAAAAGTATTAATATGATTACAGAGGCTTTCTTCCAAATGATATAATTTTAATTCAATATGAGGATATAACAATTCTAGATTTTCATTTTACAAAATATTATAGCCTTAAAATGTATAAAGCAAAAATTGTTGTGACGATAGAAATAAATTACCTAGGGAATATACAACAAAACTCTCTTATTTTGGAACAATAAGCAGAAAAATACTATTGTAGATTTCAATATTTTTTATCTAATGGAAAAATATTTTACATTAATATATAAATATTTTACATTACTGCCCACCAACATTCTTAAAAATGAACTAACACCTTAATTCTAGTAGACGACTTTGGAGATTCTATTTTTTTTTTTTTTTTTTTTTTTTTTTGAGAGTATCACCAGGCGCCAGGCTGGAGTGCAATGGAGTGAGCTCAGCTCACTGAAACCTCTGCCTCCTGGGTTCAAGCAATGCTCCTGGCTCAGCCTCCCAAGTAGCTGTGACTACAGGCGCGCCCCACCACACCCAGCTAACTTTTGTATTTTTTAGTACAGATAGGGTTTCACCACATTGGGCAGGATGGTCTTGATCTCTTGACCTCGTGATCCGCCCGCCTTGGACTCCCAAAGTGCTGGGATTACAGGCGTGAGTCCCCGCGCCCGGCCGACTTTGAAGATTCTTTAAGACTCTCTTCATAGATTACCATGTCATGTCATAATAAAAAGTTTTATTTCTTGCTAATTAATCTAGAAGACATTTAGTTTTCTTGCCTTATTGTACCAACTAGAACCTAGTACAAAGTGAATAGAATTATTAAAGTGAACTTTTTTCCTTTGTTTCTTATAGGAATAACATTCACACTTTCAACATTGAATGCATATGATGTTAGTTATGGTTTATATAGTTTTTTTTTATTGCTTTGAGGAAGTTCCTTCTTATTCCTACTTTAATGAGAGTTTTTAAAACGAAAGGATACTGAGTTTTGACAACTGCTTTTTCTGCACATATTGAGATGATTGTATGGATTCTATGCTTTAGTCTGTGGATAAAGGAAATTGCATGAATTTTTTTTTAATGTTAAAACAACTTTGCATTCCTATGATAAACTCCTCTTAGTCACAATGTTTTATCCTCTTTATATATACTTTTATTTTTAGTATTATTTTTAAAAAATACCAGTGATATTCATGAAGGAAACTGTGCAGTTTTTTTTCTCTGTAGTGACTTTGGTATTAGTAACAGGGTAACACGGTTCTGAGAAAATAAGCCAGGATATATGAGCTTCTGTTTGTTTTATGAAAGATTTTGTGTGAAATTGGTATATCTCCTTAATGGATTTGAAGAATTAAATGTTCCTATCGAATTATTCTTGCATGAGAGTTGGAATTTGTTCCTTCTGACTAGTTTTTAAATTAATAGCGTAAAGTGGTTCGTCATAGTCTCTTTTTATCTTTCTAATATCTATAGAATTGGCAAAACAGTCTTCCTGCTGGAATCTCTACCCTGC